TCCCTCAGCTCTTCAGCTCAAGGCTAGCGCTCTACCACTTGAGCCACAGTGCCACTTCCGGCTTTTTTCTTTTTGCTTATGTGGTGCTGAGGAACCGAACCCAGGGCCTCAGGCATGCAAGGCAAGCGCTCAACCACTGAGCCATCTTCCCAGCCCCACTTCCAGCCTTTTCTGTTTATGTGGTACTGAGGAATCGAACCCAGGGCTTCATGCATGCTAGGCAAGCACTCTACCACTAAGCCACATTCACAGCCCTCCCTTAGGTTTTGTTACTGATTTTACTTAGGGGGATAGGAGGTAGACACCAATTCTCTTCTCATAGACTGACTAGAAGAGGAGAGAAGAGCTGGAGTTTGGCTTAGTGGTACAGCTCTTAACTAACACACGAGGTCCTGGGTTTGATTCCTAGCAGGGCAAAAATAAAAAAAAAATTGAGAAAAAAATTGATTGAGAATTGAAGAGCAAAATCTACTAAGCAGCCATTGTACAAAATAAAATACAAAAACTGAGCACTAACAAGCTGGGATGGTAGGATGTTCCTGTAATTCCAGCATTCAGGAGGCTGACACAGGAAGATCTGAAGTTGGAGACCTTACCTTACAAAGAAAAAGCCTTAGGCCTTAATGAATTAATGAGGATTGCTATATTAAAAGGTGGTGGGGCATTAAAAATGTTTTCATTAAAACTGGTGAGTGCTGGATTTTCGGTCAGTAATTGAGTCCAATATACTCTACCCAGAATCCAACTGGGGACAATGCAGTGATGTTCCATGGAGATAAAACATTTTCCAAATTCTGCTATCCAAGAAATGAAACTTTCTAGCAGTCAATAACCTCTAGAAACTCTTAACAAACTCTTTAGAAAGTGTAGTTATTAGATAACTTATGATTACATTACTCAATCCATTATTCTGAAGTAGCACTGTCAAATAATGAACCTCTCTCTGAATACCTCCCTGAATTCACAAGCAAGTAAACTGAGATGTTTTTAGGTGTCCAGTTAAAAGATTTAGTCAGGGTGGGCACCCATGGCTTACTCATATAACCCTACCTACTTAGGAGGCTGAGATCCGAGGACTGTGGTTCAAAGCCAGCCTGGGCAGTAAAGTGAGACTCTTACCACCAGAAAATGGGAATTGGGGGGGGGGAGGGGGAAGGAAATTGGAGCTGTGGCTGAGTGGTATCAAAAAAAACTCAGGGATAGTGCTCAGGCCTTCAGTTAAAGCCACAGGATAAACAACAAAATTTTTTTTTCTGTCAGGCACTGGTGGCTTACTCCTATAAATCCTAGCTACTGGAGGCTGAGACCTGAGGATCTTTATTTGAAGACAGCCTGGGAAGGAAAGTCCATGAGAGGAGACTCATCCCCAATTAACATGCAAAAAGTAAAAATATAGTGTGGCTCAAGTGGTAGAGCAAAAGCTGAGTTCAAGGCCTAGTACCCACACAAAAAAATACAGGCTGGGGACTCACTTTGGATGACAGGACACAAGTCTACTGGACCTTGGTTTCCAAAACAGGGCCTGATAAGTTCCTTTAGTTGCTATGGAGATAAAGATGTAGGCAGAGCTGGGCACTGGTGGCTCAAGCCTGTAATCCTAGCTACTCAGGAGGGTGAGGGTCATGGGTTCAAATCCAGTCAAAGGAAACTTGCTTTTGTTTATTATTATCTCTAATAAAAAAAAATCCAGAAGTCACAGTTCAAATGGTTTAGAGTGCCAGCCTTGAGCAAAACAATCTCCAAACAGCAGGTTCTGAGTTCAAGCTCCAGAACTGGCAAAAATAAAAACTGTAGTCAGCAAGTCTTTTTTTGGCCTTTGGCCAATGCTTTCCTTCATAGGGAGGAAACATCTGAATAGTTGAATAAAACCGTCAAGTTTCTAACTTTTGTCCTAACAAAAGAACAAAGGGAATCCTGAGTAGTTAATTTTCCCTAATTTTTCTTTTTTTTTTTGCTGGTTTCGTCTTAAAGCACATTTAGGACTAGATGACAAAAGATAACAAGGTCCACTTGTTCAGTACACATTTATTCCTTTAGTTGAACAACCTCTATACACAGTTAGGTCTCAAAGGAGCCTGCTATGAATATCTTCTGGAAAATCAGCAGGCCCTTTTAAAACCCCAGAGGAAAATCAGTTCAGAGAAGACAGCAATTTGACTTGGAAATTGAACTACCCATTACTGACAAGAAACCCAGAATTTCTAATAAAGGAAAATTCTTCCTGCATACTCAAAACTCATTGGGAAACAGCACAGTCTACTAGAAGACATGACACAAGCAAAAATACAATGTGGTGGCGTTTAATGGATGACCTAATTTTGTGGAATGCCCGATTTTGAGGGTAATTTGAACAAGAGAGAAACACAAAGCTAGATTGGAAACTATAGTTTTCTTAGTAGCCTTAATGGTATAGATCTGAGTTGTTCCATAAGTTTGACTACATTAAGCATAGCCCTAAGCCCCTCCTCCCACTGCCAAACTATTATAGGAATTTTAAATGTAGATCAGAATGTCAGTACTGGCTTACCAACCTCACCCCCCATCTACTGCTAATCTTACAAATTTTTAAGGTAAATAATTCCTATCCACTTATTCAGATTCTATCAGCTTCAAAATACCAGTATCATCATTTTTGATGACCGTATTAACCTCTCATGAATTTCTGATAATAGGTACTCAGGCAATTTTACTCAGATTAAGCTATATTTTCTTAAAGGAAGCATGTAACAGGTTTATCTAATTTTGAAAATGGCATTTGGAAAGTTTTCAGATGCAGCAATTGCATCACTTTAAAAAAAAACATTAAGAAAAAAGCCAGAAGTGGCGCTGTGGCTCAAGTGGCAGAGTGCTAGCCTTGAGCTGAAGAGCTGAGGGACAGCGCCCAGGCCCAGAGTTCAGGCCCCATGACCGGACCAAAAAAATAAATAAATAAAAAAACATGGGCTGGCTTTAGTGCTTTACTACATGATCAAAGCTGACTAGCATGTTCACACTACAAATTTCAGAGCAAAATCCAATCTTGTTTGTGCTTGTCATCTCCAAAAACCAACACCTTGCCAATACAGCTGCAGGTTCCAGAACATGCACTAAACAAATCTACAGGGCTAGCCTCAGTGCTCCTCCTTTTGAGAATTTCACAGCTATTTTACCACAGAGCATGTTTTATATACTGACATAATTCCCTAATAAGATAAAGCAAAGACAGAGTAAGTTTATCTTAGTAGAAACAACACACCATCACTTTAGATTTCAAACATTATTGCACTTCCATAATTTGACAAAGCAGTCATGAAATAATCTGCAGACTAGTTCTAACAGACAAATAACACCTTTAAGCAGACATGACTGTCCTAAATTGTTTATTAGGTATGAATTGTACAAACATTACTTTTATTATTAGCGGTAACGGTGGAGCTGGAGAGTATTGCGCCTTCTCCATGCTGCTCGGCGAGAACCGCCGATAGTGTGGTGGAACTTGTGGCCTTTTCCAAGGCCACGACTCTTGCGGCCTGCAGAGGTCAGCCCACGCATCTCTCTGTGCTTGTGGACTGGTTTGGTGATCCACTGGGTGTCAGGATTTCTTCTGATGGCCTTATGGAATGGATCAATGAGGATAACCTCAAAGAATTTGTATGTAGAATCTTCACCAACCCAGTAAGAATTCAGGACTCTCAGAGCCCCACAGTGACGCCCAGCCCGCTCCTGGAATAGGAAAAAAGACCCAAGATCAGCCTCCTTCCTGGCTTACACCAGTAAATCTTGTTAATAACCATGTATCTTTCCTAGGTAAGAGATTTAAGCTATTAACTTAATTTAAAAAAAATGTAAAGCACTCTACCCTCTAACCTGTATTCCCAGCCTCAACACTTTCAATCACAATGGAAGCCAACAAAACTTTCTGCCCATGTCTTAAGATTTAAAAAAAACTCCAAACAAAGAAGCACATTGGCAAAGTAAATAAACCGTGTGAAGACAACTTTACTGCCCTTTAAAAGCTTAGGCTCCTTTCAAGTTTATTAATCACAAAATACCTTTTCCATGTATCATATACAAACTCAGATTAGAACACTAATGATTTTGATAGCAACTACACTGTCAAGATAAATGTCATCCCCACAAACCCATCACACACACTAGATACAGACAAGGTGCTCAGTCTTTGTTAACTACCATTAATAGGTAGTTACAACAGCCAGTCAAAACCATTTACCTCAGCAACAGACTGAAGGCTGCGAGCAAACTTGAGCTGGTTAACACCATGATGGACAGGCTTGCCATAAGTTGCACCCTTAGGAACCGGGCGTTTGCGGCCACCACGGCGCACACGAATCCTGTATATGACGTAACCTATACGTTTAAAAAACAGGGAGACTCACTGTTACACTGGAAGGAACTTTTGTGTTAGCCCAGGCTCAAACCTGAGACGTGCTGTTGGCACTCCTGACAGTAGTGTATGTGTAACTTACTAATTACAGGAACTGTTCTACCAAAGCACTAAGAGATGACAACGGAGCAGAACATCCCAGCATCCATAGAGAAACCACACACCTTGCTTGGCCTTGTATCCCAGGCGGCGTGCCTTGTCTGGCCGGGTGGGGCGGGGCGCCCGGTGCAGCGCGGAGAGCTGGCGGTACTGCCAGCAGCGGACTCTCAGAAGAAAGCGCATCACATCCGACTGCTTCTTCCTCCATAGCTCCTGGATGTACTTGTAGGCACCCATCTTGGCTTACCTTGGAGATAAAGGCGGGTTTTCAATTATAGCAATGGCAGGAGTTAAAAAACATGGGAATCGTCCGCAGCCTGCGCCCGTCCATCTTGGTTGTTTTTCCACCATCCACAAGGAAACCGCAGGGAGTGAAAATGGCTCTGCACCAACTGCAGGCGACAGTGAACCCAACACCCACCTCGGAACCCTGGAAAGCCGCGTCGTCACCTCTGCTACCCCGGCGCAGGGCAGCTCCGGGAAGCGCTCGGCTGGCGTGTGGACGGGTGATCGGAGCTGAATTTGGGCACCGAGGGGACGGGTGGCGGCGGCCGGCGGCGTGTCACCGAGATGTCGCCGCCATAGGAAAAGGTGCTGATGCTGCCGCCGCCGCGGGCAATCAGCTCTCCAGGAAAAGGCACTGACCCCACCCAACCAGGCGGCCTCACTTTGGGTCACTTCAAGCCAAACCTCCCACCCCTCAGCCCCAGGCCTGCTTCAGGCTCGGGGCCCAGCACCAGTTCCCGCCGCCATCACGTCTTTCCCCGACCCCAGGGCGATGCCTCGCCACACTGTCGCCGCTCCCCATCCTCACTAGATTCCCGCCGCAGGAGAGGCGGGAAGAGCTATCAGAACACAGGGTCTTCAGGCACGGATGGCTGAGAAGAAGGGAGATTAACGATGGATAGATTAGCGAGAAAAAACCCTTGCCTACCTGATGGCTGCCGCCAGACGGAAAGGAAGAGACCTTTCTCCCACAATTCCTTTTGGGCCCCTCCTCTTCTTTCCGGTGGAACGATGCGGTTTCCCAAAGCCTCATGGGAGTTGTAGTTCCCGCAGCGAGTCTGGTGGGCGGAGCTAAGCCAGGATTGGGCGCAGCCTCCGGTTGTCCCACCCCCTCCTGCGCTGCAGGACTGAGCTTGAGAGTCCCGGGTACGCAAAGGGCGGAGAGCGGTGGTGGTGATGCCTTCCTTCTTGCTAGTGATTCCCGGCTAACTCGGCTGTCTCCCTCACTCCGCTGCCGGGCGGAGGCGAGTTGGAGGCGGGATCTGGAACTGGGGACTGCGGAGCTCGGTGGAGCCGCCGTTTTGTAGGTTGCGGAAGCGATAGGTTTGTTTCTGGACCCGCGGGCTCCTCCGGCGGAGCTGGCCGCCTCTGCCTCCCCCAGGACGGGCGCCCACGTCCCGGCTGGACGCTTCCCCGGCCCCTGGGAAGGCGTTCGCGGGGAGGGCGCCGCGCGGGGGGGTGGTGGTGTGGGAGGGGGAGGGGAGCCCCGGCTCCGGGGGTGGGGGGCTGAGCCTTCCAAAGGGGCGCAGGACCGCTGGGTGCCGGCTGCTGGGCCCCTGTCCTCCCCGGGCTTTTCCTGCAGGTGCACGCGATGTGCCAGCGTCAGAACTGCAGGTGATGGATCTGCCAAGACGAAGGTATTGGGAAGAAAGGCGGAGGAAAATGCTGGCATTGGGCATTACCTTGTTTAACTCAGAAATCGTCTGCTGGCGTGTTTCTCTTTCTCATCTCTGATCTGTTGGTATCTCTATATAATACATAGCCGTGAGGTTTTAATTCCCTTCCAATTTCTACTCTTAGGTATTACCAAGGCTTGAAAATCATTTTTACATTGGAAATCAGTGCATTTCCGTCTTTCCTCTTTTAAGTTTTTATTTATAAAAAAAACCACAGGTTTTCCACTTTAAGAGTCCTCACCTGCTCTTTGAATCAACAAATATTTATAACATGCCTAAAACGCCCCAGACACTGACCCATAACGATTTAGGGGTGCAGCAGCGAACAAGGCAGAAATTCTAGCCTTCTTGGAAGCAAACCTTAAACAGTAAATAGGTAATGTTTGTGTTAAGCGATAAATGCTAAGGAACAACAAAGATGGGTTGAAGGGGAAGGGATTGTTGGGGGGTGAAGTTCTCATCATCAACGTTATCCTGAAATGACCGCCCTTGCCTTCAGCGCTACCTCCCGCCTCTGCCGCTGAGCCTGGGTAGGCAGAGACAGACCTCGGGCTCTGGTGGGGCTTTTCCAGGCCCGAAGGGGGTTGGAGGGTGCTGCTTCCCAATTCACTGCCATCCTGGTTACCCTTTGAGCACACCTGATGGAAGTTGCAGTTTTGGATGGAATATTCTGGGTTAGTTTCCATAAGGAGGTAACATGTCAGAGTAGACTTCAGGCCCTGGAATGTAGTGCAGTTCTAGAGCTTGTGCTTAGCAGCTAGGAGGCTAGGAGGTTTGCTTCTCAGGAGCAAACAAACAACAACAAAAGCCCTCAAACCTCTCTACTGGCAACTGGGCTTGAGGAGCAGGGAGATGATCTGGCAGAGGGAAAAGAGAAACAACAGGAAGCAGAGAGACTAATCAACCATAAGAGAAAGAAGGGATGGATGAATGGCCTCAAAGAGGAGAGGGACATTAGGTTTCAAACTGCCTGACACTGGAAACCTGGATGACTCTGAGCATCTGCCTTACGTTTTACAAGGCTCTATATCTGCTTTGAGGCTAAATGGAGAAAAGGTGGAAGCCAGCCGTATTGATTTCCTATTGTCACTAACAAATCGTAGCAAAAGTTTCCTGGCATCACACAGCACACATTATTGACTTGTAGTCTGTAGATCAGAAATTTCACTAGGTTAAAATCAAGATCTTCATGTATTGACCCCTGCAAAAAACCCCTTGTGTGGTAAAATAGATTCCTCACAGTTTAATGGGATTAGTATAGGGACATCTTTGAACAATAGATGCAGCCACTTAAGTTGTGCCAGAGAGGGTCAATCAGTGCACATAGATGCATTTCAAAGGTTTATTGACGGATTGGATATGGGGTGTAAGAGAAATGAGTTGAGGGTGATTGACTACCAAGTGTGATGAAGGGGGGGAGATGAATCAGCAATGTGAATAATCACTGCTAACATAGTTTTCTTGGTTTTATGTCTCAGCAGTTTACCAGAAGTTGTATTTGTTTCTAATTGGTTCCAAGATTCCTAAGGATAGGAAGCATTTCTGATTTTGTCCCTTAGTTTGTTCCTAATGCCTAGTAAATGTTTATTAAATGAATAAAAGGCTAGAATTACATTTTACAATGTGAAATAGTTGCAAAAACCCATGGTTTACATACACAAAATATGTCTATATGGGGTGAAAAAGTGTTAAGTACCACATGTAGTACATTATTATGTAATGTACCACAGCATTACATAATATCTATGCAGATAGACACATATTGTAGAAGTTCTACCCACATGATATTTATTTTTATTTTTTATTTTTAACTTTCCGTGTGGCAACCCTGATGTTTGAAAGCAAGACTTGGATCTTGCTACTCAGGTGCTCCACCATGTCCCCAGCCCTTTTTGCTTTAATTTTGTTACAGATACGGTGTTTTGGTTTTTCACCTAGGCCAACCAACAGCATTAATCATCAGTCCTCCTGATCTCTGCCTCTGTAGCTGGGATTGCAAGCAGGTCCCTGATGCTATTTCTTCATATAAAGTTTATAACATCTTCCCCTGATGTTAACAGGGTTTCAGTATTTTTCTGGTTGCATAAAAATTTGTGTTTTGCTTATAAAAATAGAATAAGGGCTGGGAATGTGGCTTAGTGGTAGAGTGCTTGTCTAGCATGCATGAAGCCCTGGGTTTGGTTCCTTAGTACCACATAAATAGAAAAAGCTCAAAGTGGTGCTGTGGTTCAAGGTTCAAGTGGTAGAGCTCTATCCTTGAGTAAAAGAAGCTCAGGGAGGGCTGGGAAGGTGGCTCAGTGGTAGAGCGCTTGCCTTGCATGCCTGAGGCCCCTGAGGGTTCGATTCCTTAGCACCACATAAGCAAAAAGAAAAAAGCCGGAAGTGGCGCTGTGACTCAAGTGGTAGAGTGCTAGCCTTGAGCTGAAGAGCTGAGGGACAGCGCCCAGGCCCAGAGTTCAGACCCCATGACTGGACCGAAAAACAAACAAACAAGAAGCTCAGGGACAGTACCCAGGTCCTGAGTTCAAGGACTGGCCAAAACAAACACCCCCCCCCCAACAACAACAAAAAAGGAGTCAGTCCCTAATGCAGAAGAAATGGCTCTTCAAAGAGGTTGAATAAGCTTAATGTTTTCCACAGAAGTGAACCAAGCTGGGTGTGTATTCTTCAGCAACATTTTGATAAGCCTGGGAAGCAAAGCAGATAGCATTTAAGACTGCATTGGATTTTGCCTATGAAACATTTTTATTTTGTTTTGGTTGGTTGTGGGGCTTGAACTCTGGGCCTGGGCGCTGTCCCTCAGCTCTTCAGCCCAAGGCTATTGCGCTACCACTTGTGCCACAGCACCACTTCTGTTTTTTTGGAGATAAGAGTCTCACAGACTTTCCTTCTCGGGTTGTCAGATCTCAGCCTCCTGTATAGCTAGGATTATAGGCGTGAGCCATTGGGGCCTTGCGCGCGCGAGCGCGTGCGTGCGTGCGTGCGTGCGTGCGTGCGTGCGTGTGTGTGTGTGTGTGTGTGTGTGTGTGTGTGTGTTGTGGGGCCTGAACTCTGGGCGCTGTTCCTCAGCACTTCAGCTCAAGGCTAGCATTCTACCATTTGAGCCACAGTACCACTTCCAGCTTTTTCTGCTTATGTGGTGTTGAGGAATTGAACCCAGGGCCTCATGCATGTTAGGCAAGCATTCTACCACTAAGCCACCTTCCCAGCCCTAACAAATAGCTTTAATAAATGATTTTCAGATTAACCTCAGTGTTTATGCATGTTCTGGATAAGCAGTTTTCACTATCAGAGCATCAGTGTTGCAAGAAACCTAAGTTATGTCATTATCTACTCCAAAGTCTTTCCAAATTCTTGAAACTAGATTCAGTAATGAAGTATAGCCACTCCAGAATCTGTTCATGTGATTCATTGCCAGTATTTGGAAGAAAATGTACATTCATTGTGATTATGAAATATAACCATGCTGTGAAATATGTTCTAGAACTAAATATTTAATAGTTTTGTGTGCAAATTTGAGTATATCTAAGCCTAAGAACCACTTAGGTATAATGTGTATTATAATATTCAGGGTATAACTTTAGATACATTTATTCCCATATAGGTAAATATATGTGATTTTATTTTGGGTGGGGGCCTTGAACTCTAGGCCTGGGCACTGTCCTTGAGTTCCTTTATGCTCATGGCTAGTGTTCTACCACTTGAGCCACAATGCCACTTCTAATTTTTCTGTGATTAATCGGAAATAAGAGTCTCCTGGACTTTCCTGCTTGGGCTGGCTTTGAACCACAATCCTCAGATCTCAGCCTCTTGAATAGTGAGCTAGGATTATAGGCATGAGCCACTGGTGCCTGGCTCAACTCCTATTTCTGTAGTTGTTCTTACTGCAAGGAGTAATATGAACTGTCCCTGTAGCCAGGGTGACTTGATGGTGTTCAACTGGAGGTAAGAAGAGAGCTGGGAGAAAGGAGGTAGTTGAAAATGGCAAAAATCAGTGAGGACATTGGAAGCTATTTACTTATTTATTTTTGTCCAAGACTAGGACTTGAACTTAGTATCTGATGATTGCACTTTTTGGCTGGTGCTTTACTGCTGGAGCCATGCCTCCAACCCCATTGGAATGTTTTACTGGGTTATTTTATTGTAGTTAATGAATGAGCCTTTTTTTTTCTTCTGCTTTGACACTTTTCCTTTTGAAAACCAAACACTTTGAGGAAAGTTGAAGAAAGAATCACTGAATTTTATTCTTCCTTGGATTATTTGGGAAGCTTAGGGAGATGACTCCCTTTTTTTAATTTGAAGTGTCTCAGT